CCCCATGTGAAACAAGACTACCTTCCGTGGCCAGCACTTTTACAATAGCCTCGTGTTCTAACAAGACCAGATACAGATGCCGCCTTTGTTCAGGAATTTGTCTTTCAGTTGCAAACTGATGAAAAGATTTCTTGGCTATCAAACCAGATATTTGATCTTCATCTCTAATTGATTTCTGGGAACTGAAAACCTTCATTAATGATACTGTCTTTTATAATATTTAACTTCCTGTATTGTTAACATCTTTTCTAGTAATATTAAGAAATCTTTTTCTATATCATCGCCAGTACTGAAGAACTTACGGCAGTCTGCTATTTATTTCTCTTTTCTCATTAGCATAAATGCTTCAATACCAGAGATCAAATCTTGATTGCTATTCGACTGTGTTTCATTTTTTGCTATAGTACTTATTTTTATATTCTGCACAGTACTTCCAATTCCCAGATTTTCTTGTCTGGACTCCTTGAACTTCTTGTACATCAATTTCTCAGTTGTTTCTCACTGGTATCTTCTAGTCTCCTACATGGAAACTAATTAACCATACTTTCTATCTGATGACTTTTACAAGAATAATTCTTTTTCCCACTTTTGCTTCTGGTGTTTCATTACCCATTACTATGTCCTTACTTTCCTTCCTTCCTTTTTTTTTTTTTTTTTTTTTTTTTTTTTTCTTTCTGATCAATAACAAAGGTCTCCAAGAGCCTCTACCAATCTTCTCACTTTAGTTAATAAATTAAAATTCATAGTCACGCACAGACCTCACACACAGACTTCGATAGAGTTCAAGGAGTCCTTTCTCTACAAGTACTTTTTGATGCTTTCTAATGAAAAAACTTTCTTCTACCATCAGTCCTTGTGCTAGCTTTTAATATTTATTGTTTTGACATGTCACTTCATTAAAGCCAGCCAAGGTATGAATGTCTGTTAGTAAATGAGTTTTCTAACCCTGTCTATATCAGAAATGTTGCTTCACTATTGTCTCTGAGAGGATATGATCCTTCAGTTCAAAAAAAATTATGCTGGCAAAAGGCAAAGTTGGAAAAGGCAGACATGTTGTGTACTTGTAGTTTATTTTAGAGTGAGCTGTAGAAGTTAGCTATAAAACCGGTTTTGGCAAGTACAAGCTGTACTTTCACAATGGCCATGCTGGCACAGCCTACAAGTACTGGAAGGGCCAAGCAACAAGCTCATTCTGCAGTCATGAAATGAGATACCGGTCATTGTCTGCGAGTGCGCACATGAACCTCAGCGTGCTATTTGTTAATTGTCACAGGAGACTTGAATGAGAAGTTTCCAATCAGCAGTTTGGAGCCAGGCCATGCAGCTTAGTTTGCCAGTCTAAATCAACAGTTCACGAACAGGTTAGTTTGTGTAAGTTATCTGGCACCTAGACAAAAGTCAGACTGAGAGGAAACAGCAGTCCTTTGTGAATGTCTCACAAAAAAGAAAAGAAACAAATTTAATCAAGTACTATAGAAAATAGGTAGTATGTTCAGTGCCAGTTTTAAGTGAGAGCAGTGTTATTGAACCAGCTATGAGAATATGAATCCAGATTTATATGGTGATGACTTGCTAGCCAGCTTTTGCAAAATCATTGTGCTATTTAAATAGGTAGTTCATTTCTTTAGGTATCAGGCCCCCAGGCAGTGATAAGACAGATTGTGAAAAGGTGGCTTGGGCAGTTTTGGTGCTTGCTGCTTCATAAAGTATTTATAGGATACGTCTGGTTATTCCAGGTGAGGTGGACTGAATATTGCCATGCATTCTATGGTTCACATAGGCTAGATCGGGCAATTCCTTGAAGAAAGGTAGAGCTCTAGGAATCCAAAGGAAAAAGGGAAATCCTGCTTATCCTTTTGCCTGTGTGAATATAATGCATCTCTCCTTCCTGTTCTGTAGCATATGATTTCTATACATTCATTTTCAATGTGATAAACAAACATAAAAACCTTTGAGTTAAATAATAACCTGAAAAATAAAAATGGGCTGGAGGTTTTACCGTCCAAATCACCAAGGGCATTGAGCAATACCCGGTCTCTTCATCCCAGCTTGTACCTTTGGACAAGTCACAGAACGGCCAGTATCAGGCTTCCTACTCATTTAGGCTTTTAACTCCATTGTGCAAACCCAGGGAAGAAGCAGGAATGACATAAGGAAGTAAATCAAAGACTGGGAACAGAAACAATTCTGGTCTCTGTTCGACTTCCTCCCCCTCTAAATTAAGAAAACTGATACCAGAATTTTTAATGTGAGTGAAGGGGTAGCAAGGGGTTAAACCAGGACACGGCTTTTAGCTGTGAAAAAGGACATGTCTTGCTGCTTCCCATTCACCAAACCTTTTAGGACCTGCAAAGGGGCCTGTGGGAATCCAATTTCTTTGCATGGGGAGTGACCAGCCACAGTGTGAATTTTCTGTTGTTACTTTATTTAGCACTGCAAAGGAGTTGCCAGTTCTATTTGAGGGTCTAATGCTGTTAATGTTGCCGCTTTGGGTAGGCTGAGTTTATCTCAAAACACAGAACTCAGAGCCAGATAAATTTAAGTGCTGATGCTAGTGTTTGAGAAGTAAAGTCACACCAACAGTGCCAAGCTACAATAAGACCCAGATGAGTGGAGCCATTAAAAACATGGGCTATTACCACTGGCAGTGTTCTGTTTCCTCTTTCAGCATTGCCTTTATTTAAACAACAGCACCATTTACTGGAGATAACAGATGAGGATTTTTTTTATTATTTACTTTTTTGCATTATTCATTCTTTATGATAAGCATTTCACAAACTGTGGAAATAGTAGCAAAGGCCTATTTGATTCCTTGGTTTTGGTTTTCTGACAGTGGACACGCCAGCACCTGTGTGGTAAACACTGGTCACATCCCACAGTGAGGGAAGGGAGCACCACACAGTTCTGCAGGGTTCTTCAGGCTGCTACCCGCTTTCACATAGTGAGCGTGCTACCCATACACTAGGACGCTGTTGGTGGTGTGAACCTGGGGAAGGCATTCAACCATGGTGCAGGACTCACTGCTGAACCATCACATCAGCTGATGTGGTATTAGTTCTGCTATGTAACCCATATAAATACTATTTAATATATGCCTATTCAAATATGTGAATATGGGCACAGTGAAGATAAAATGAAGAAGAAAAAGGATTATGCAGACAGTGCTTGGGCCCCTGCTGTGACATACACAGTGCATTGTTTGATGCTGCAGGCACGCCCTTGTTCTAGCTGTGATACCCTGGGAAACTTTCCGAACTTTGTTCTGCAAACTCCTACTGCATGTTTTTGGCAGCATCTTACTTTTATTGCGGTTAAATATCACTTTACACAAAGTGACCAGGGACACAATGGAGCATTAATCACTACCAGAAGACAAGTATTAAATACCATGCATGAAATAATAGTGAACTAGTACCTGAAGTCCCACAGGAGAGGGAAGTGTTCCCCTGTTCCTCTGGTGCAGATGCAAGCACAGCAGTGTCACCTTCCTGCTCCTTCTCCTTCCATGAAGCACCCCAAAAGCCCACCAGTTCCTTGGTCTCTGGGAGCAGAAAGGCCCTTTTCTCCCTTGAAAGAAAGCTGAAGCTTTCTGATGGAGAAATATCCAACTTGGTCAGCAAATGATTATTTGAAAGTAGCCCTTTTTGCCCTGGAAGTTATAAGCTGCATTTTTGATACTATCAGAAAGCTTGGCTGGTTAGTCCTCAAAGGTTACAAACAAGGAGAGAGAAGGGAAGGTTCCTGTTGTGCTATGGCAACTGTCAAACACTCGTGTACACATTAGCAAGATCAAGGGTTTGCCCAGACTGGGAAAGAGCAGGTAAACACCATGCTAATCCCTCTGGAGCTGCGAGACAAACAAGCTGCCAGGGCATACCCCTTTCATCAAGAGAAGTCAGTCAGGATTTTTTTCTTTCCTTGCAGTTTGTTTATTCAAGGTACCTACGCTCTGATGGTTCATGCTTTACAAGGCTGCCCCACTTGTTCCTTGTCATGCAGCTGTGCTGATTGAAGTCCAAGGGAGCATAGCACGAAGGGAGAGGGAAGTTTCAAAAGGTCAGTTTTGCACTAGAAAAGCACAGAGCAAGCTGATAGCAAGATCTCAGGGACCTGTTAAGTCAGGGGCTGCAAGATCTTCTCATCCTTAACCATCAGACCTATCTGACTCCAGCGATATGTTCCCAGTTAGTTAAACTGGGTGTTGAGGATGCATTTATAACACATGATAAAAGGCCTTTGAGCCTATGTGGAAAGTACATAGCCATCTAGAACCACTGCTTATTGGGCAGGGATACCATAAGTGATTGGGTGCCTGAATCAGGGTTTCCCCATGGGCACCTTCTCATCCCTTTGGGATTCAGACGCCAAAGACTGAGGTTTGGTATGATTCAAGACAAGCTCAACATAATACCGGTTAGCTTGACTCAGAAATCCACCTGGGCTAGATTTTATTTTTTTATCCTTCTAGCAATACTGAAGAAAGATTTTGAGTATCTGTATGGAAATCTGACAGTACTACAGACTGTGCAGAACACAGCACAATGGCTATTAGCCTCAGAAGCATAACTGTTATCAGGCCATGTGAATTGAAAGGAAAGACCATTGTTATGAAACATGATTAAGCATCGAGGCAGACATCACCAGTGGTGCCTTTAATTTAGTCAAGCCAGGCTGGTACTATGAAAGAGCCTGGTGACACTGGAGGATGGCTTCTTCATTTATCCAGATCCAACAGCATCTGAAGAGCAGTGGTTTGGCTAAGGAACCTTGGAATGTGCTAAGAGTCTTGTCTCTGTGTAAATTGTTGAGGTTTTCTTTTAACTGTCTTTCCAAACTTGTTTTCCTAAGCTCTTACTCAAAACTTTATAACAAAAAATTGAAGATTCATTTAGCAGAGTCTATGGATGTTAGCGGTGGGTAGGGACAGCTAAGCCTTGTGGAGTAAATGCAGCTTCCATAAAGTGAAGATGTTGACACAGAACAAGGTGTGCAGGGGGAGACCTGCCCCCCTCCACCCGTTCTACTGAGTGGGACCGCCGCACGGCCAGGGATGCAAGACAGAGAGTGACTGGACAGCTGTCACAACTGCTGGACAGGACATCTCGATAAGGTACAGACGAAACCCAGGCTACATTCCTGTGTCCTGCAATGTTTACAAATGCTTCCTGAGACAACAGATTAAAAAAAACCAATTTGGGTTTGTTAATCTGAAGGAGGTGACACAGACACTGCTTTGTCCATGAAACCCAGGTGAAGATGCAAAATCAGGCATGCATGGAGCTATTGAGAGTTGGGCAACTCTGCACCTTCTTTATTGAAAATGTGTCCTCAGTTGAGGGGCAACCCAGAGAGAATAATGAGGAACAATCTTCCCTATCTGAAACTGAGGGGAGTTTTGGGGTGGAAGTGCAGACATGAGTCTCATTTCTTAAACTGCACCAAAGACATTGATCAAAGTCCAAAATTCAGTTTTCATCCCTTGAATCCTATGTCCTATTGCTTGTGTAGAAAAAATCGCGGGTTTGCTCTCTTAAGGGGAAAAGTTCATGAAAAATTCAGAGGGCTCACAAGCCTGTGGTAAGGGGGAGTTGATAAACTGGCTGCTAATGAACTGCCAGCTCCCAGAGAAGGGAGTGAGTGTTCATGCTGCAGTCAGTAACTGCAGTGAGTCTTGCTCTCTGGTCCTACAGCCACCTCATATGGTAAGAGGATGGTAGGTAACTCAAAAAAAAAAAAAAAAGTTTCAAAATTGGTTTGATTCTGTTTTTTCTTAAAAATGTGCAAGTCACAACTACAACTGGCAAATTTTTAATTCTGAGGACAAGACCCATCCTTTTTCTACATTTCTCTACCACATAGCAAGTAAAAGGGACCTTAGGCTACATACCATTACTTCTACAATGTGAGTCCAGTGAAACTGGTGGAAATTTTCTGGAATAAAATGGCCAGAACTCATAATCAGGCTGAACACCTTGAAAAAACAGTGGCGTGCTCCTGGTATGACAAGTAATCTAGTTTGTATTTCACTGTTTACTTTGTAAGCAGGGATAGCTTTGCTGTTATCAGATTTTTCCCTACAGTTTTTAACAGCAAGATGAATGTATGGCACTTCGTGAATGTGGCAGCTGAGTTCAATTTCATTGCTCTTTAAATTTTCTCTGCTTTCTCTGTTTAAGGAAAATCAAGGAATGCAGTAATTACTTATCAGGGATCCGCTTTTTGCACTACAAATTCAAATGCACTGGATGACAGCTGAGCCTCACTGACATCGCTGCCTGCTTTTAAGGCTTCACAGAACTGTCTTGTAAACATTTATGGCATTTGAGTCATCTCATCTGCCTCCTCACAGTCATACAGAAACTATTGACTATCGAGGCAGGGAGGGAGGTAGAGGAACCCTTTGGTTTATGATGCTGTTCACAGCATTACAACCTTCATGAAAGTTCAGTCTAACTTAGAAGATTTAGAGTTTGGAGACCTTTTTTATCTGTGTTTCCTACCTATATAAAATAAATAAAAACCAGACAAGAAAGCCTCCTAAATGGGCAGTCTAGATTTGAAGAGCAAATTAAGGTCAACTCCTGCAAAGAATTCAAGCGTGAGCTACTTTTCTTTTTCGAGTAGTTTTACTTATGTTAATAGCCACTGTTCCTCGGTTTATGAATTATTCATGTGCATGAGTCTCCACAAGACTTGAGCCTGCAGGTTACAGACTTGTATTAAACACAGAGTGGCTTAAAAATCTTGGTAAAGAAGTACAGAACAACTTTTAATTGGTTCTAAAAAGAATAGCAATAGCAACAGTTAATTATTGTCAATAAGATAGTTAAACAAACGCTATCTTCATAAGTAGAATATAGTAAATATCTTCAACACATCTTCAGCATGCTCTATTGCATATTATGCTTTCATTTTATGCAGGAACGTTTTAAGGAGCTTATGGCCACATTCATCTAAAGGAAAATACACACACATTAAGCAGTACATGTCGAGCAGAGTTTTTGGCAGAAGAATGATGACTCTGATTTTAAATCTTGTTTATTTTCTCTTTATACCCACCAGTGTGTTCTCAACTCCTCTGAGCAAGGTGAGCAACAATTCTGGGGGTGTTGTCTGTTCTGGTGATGTTTTTTACAGTGGTAGCAATTCCTGGAGGTTCCCACCACCCCTTGTTGACTAATGGCAAGCAGTGTCAGCCTTCAGGACCCTGGTCCCCACTCTCCGCAACCAATGTCTGTTAGCATCACTCAGGATACTGTGTGACTTGACAAAACAGCATCTTTAACTTGCATGGTGAGTCTGACCTGCAAATGGGATTCTAGGAGGTCCTGTCTGTATTTGATTCAAAGATCCCATTAAAATGGCAGAGGCAGCTTGCGAGGCCTGATGGCTTCTGCAGTAGCAGTTGGCCCACAGTCGCTCCCCTCTTCTTGTAGGGTTTTCCCACCCATCATTCTTCCCTCTGCTGAATGTAGCAGAGATTAGAAAAGGAGGTGCCAAGCAGGAGAGTACCTCATGGGCACAGAGGTCAGGAAGGAAAGGGTGAAAAATAATGACAGAAGAGTGAGGAGGGTACATGTCAGGGAAGAAGAATAATAATCAGAGGCAACAGTGGAGGTGTGGAGGGAAGGTCCCAGTGCTTGTGGGAGGGCTGTGGGGCTCCAGCTGTTTGTGCATGGACACACTGGAAGGATGCCGAAATGGCATCTCCTCCTTACTGGAAATAAACATTCTGCAGGAGCTACAGCTTTCAGTCACAGATTTGTGAGGTCGACATTTTTTTCCACTTTGGTGCTCATTTGTTTGGTTTATTTTAAATAATTGACATGTGCCAAGCTCATCACATGTGAAGCCTCTCCAGGAAAAGCTGAATGCATTTTTTTTTTTAATCTATATATCATGTATGTTGTACACTGTGTGCCAAAAAAAAATTTTAATACCGAGTAACAGGATGTGTGTTTTGAAGTTGGAGTGAGTGAAAGAGGTCAACTGCACTTAGCAGTGGCAGGTTACAGTGGATATAATCCAGTTCTTTGCACTCAAGAGTTCATGCTTTTGAAAGGCACCCGCACTCAGAAGAGCACTGTGAAATTTCCGAAAAAGAAAAAAATACCTCAGCCCAAAGATAGGTTGTTCCTTCAGCTTACTGACCTTGGGAGTGTGAATGCATGTTCAAATGTCATTGCCTGTAGAAATGAAGCTCCTGGGCTGAGAAGGCTGTGACATGCGGAGACGAAACAAACTAGAAATTGTTTCTCTGAAATGTGAGGCAGTGACAAGGTGCAGGCAGGTGTCCCAGGGCACAGGGTGAGGAGGCACTTTGTGGTATTCAGGTGTCTGCCAGAAGCTTCATGGTTTCACTACAACTCACCCCACACATCATGTTCGTGCCTGGCACAGCGAAAGGCAGCAGCTCTTCCCACTTGTTCCCAGTGCTGTGAGTCTCGCGTGACCAGGCTGCTGTGGGGACCACGCTGTGCATCAGGGAGTGCCATTGAGCATGGGCAAGGTCCCACCAGTGGGGCAGGAGAGGCAGCTCAAGCACAAGGGGCCGTGACACCCCACACTATGGAGGCAGTGATGGCAGTGGGGGCAGCGGCTCTGGCCCATACTTAAAACTCCATACTTAAAAGTCCTGCTGTGTAAGTATGGAATGATGTTTAATCCATACCCTCACCTCAATAAACTTGTTTTAACTCTGGGTGCTTGCCTTGAGTCAAGGGTTGGGGTATGCTGCACCCACCAGCTGCAAATACTTCTGCTCCAGTGGCCCTAACCAAGGGACCTCTGGTCTTTTGCTCCATATTTTCTGCTGAAACCATTAGTTTTATTACTTGTATCTGTCCTCTTTGTCTCAATAAACCCAGTTACTATCTCCCACTTTGTACATCTTATGTCACAAGTTGAAATTTGTCTCCTGCCGGCTGGTGCTGTTTCAGTTGTTGACCTGGCAGTCTAAAATCTCCCTCTGTCCCTGTGACCTGCTGCATTAAACGGCTGTCCCTGGACAATAAGGACAGGCTTTAATGACATTTGGATACTTTCTGCTGTGAGGAGCAGATAAGACATGAACATATCTGATGATCAGGAAGGGTAGGACCCTTTTCCCAGCACATGCTGAGGGATCTGTATGTGCTGGATCTCATTAGCAACATGAAGTAATGAAATTATCTGTCCTGCCATCAGGTTTAAAAGGTCAGGCTGGGGATGATGTCTGTGAAAGGGTTCACAGCATTGAGGAGATTGTCACCAAATAGTAAGCACTGTTTTCCAGTATCCATTGTTTAATTTGCAGGTATCAACATACTGTTCATCTTCGCTGGGTGCTTTGCTGACCCCCTCCTCATGCCTCTGTATGTTACACAATGCACAGGGAGGATGGGATGTGCAAGTGCATGGGTCATTGGGATGCTGTTTGGGAGACTGGATCCACCACAGGTATTTTTCTGCTCTCAACTAAATCACATAGCTTCCTTCCTCCAACCCTTCCCCATTTAAATAGTAGCATATGTCTGCCTGGCAGGTTACAGCAGCTCACCAAGACACCCGAATTGCCTTCCAGCTGCTATGAGTTATATGGTGTATTAGTCCAAGTGAAGTATTACATTAATACAGCTTAGGGCTTCTTGGCTAGTTCTTTGATAGCTTTACACGCCAAGCACTGAGCCATATAAATGTACCCTCTTACCAGTGGTTTTGACCTTTCTTACTATTGCACCCCTGAAACATTTCAGGAAAGGTAAAACCAGGTTCACAAATATCCCAAATGTTTTTGTGCATGTGAATGTACTTTCCTTAGCCACCACCTAAAGTTCACGTACAGGTCAAAGCCTCCTGCAATAAGGACATTATAACAGGGAATGTCTTTCTTTTTTTTTCAGTGAAAAAAATTCACCTGGTGTTGTGACTTAAATGGCTTAGCCCAGTCAGTGACAGCAAGAAAGACACAGGTGGCAGGGGCTCTAGGTTATGTTCGTCATTTGAGGACCCCATAGCGAGCCTGCACAGCCAGCCTGGCCACCTCCTTACTGTTGTGTGCCCACACTAAGCAGAAGGCGGCTAGCGCGGGGCTGTACACACATACTGCTGCCACACAAGTATAGACACAGACAGAATGTGCTTGTGTATTTCTCCACACAGCTGGCCCAAAGCTTGCCAAGGCACTAGGTTGTATCATTATGTGGATCTTGGATTGTACTATCCATCTTTCTCTTTCGTTTTTGGAAACATATATTTTCAATCACATGCAGTTTGAAGACCAATTTTTTTCTTTATATCTTTTGCACAATCTTTGTGTTGATGGGTCTGTTGCTTCTAACTTCAGTGACAAAGTTGTGCAAGTGCTTTGCAAACATGTAAAAAGATGAGTCTCTGCTTGAATGAGATTATAATCTTGGAAGGCAACAACAAACACTGAGCATGTGGGTAGCTCCTGAGAGCAGGTCAGAGAAAAACTGGTCAAAAAGTGACATTGTTGTAGAAGTTAAGTTAAAATTCCAAGCATTTCAAAACTAATTATGTTCTCTAATTTCTCTTAAAATGTCATTAATTGTGGTTATTATTCTTTGTGCTTTCTTGTGAAGATGTTGTCACAGTGTTTCTTAATGTCTTTTCCATTGATTTATCAGAGACAGAGATTTTAGCATGTCAACATTTTAGTAGGTATTTATGTCAAAATATTGGATGAAATACAATTAGACAGCTCAACACTTTCACAAAATAAGAAAAAACTTATTAGTGTGTTGCAAAGAGTTTTGTTTGATAAAAAAGTCATTCTTGCCAAAATCGTTTATTGAGAAAAAGCCAACTGGCTTTTGCAGCTCATTAATCTGAGAGATGATGGCCTCCAGTGTGTGCAATGCAGAGCCTTGCCCTAGGTACCCAAATCCAGACGCTTTTCCCTGCTTTGTGGTCTGTGACACAGAACCCAGTTTATTCATGTACATAGTTTTATTTCAATCAGGGCAACAGAGCAACAACACATTTCTTCATTAGTATTTAAGGATCTGCCTATACTGCAAATTAAAACAGGTTTGGAAACCAGCCCTTGGCCCAGAGATTGAGAGGCAGCTCAGGCACTTTACACAGTGCTTGGCCTGCATCTCCTCAGTACCTCATCTTATGCCCCTGTGACATCATTATTATTCTGTGGGAGGATTTTTTCCCAGCTTTTTTTTTTTTTTTTTTTTTTTTTTCCTGTGGTAGGAGTGTGACAGTTTTGCAAAATGTGCGGTGCAGCGTGCTGGTGTGTGGATGTATTTGTGGGTGCAAAGCCCGGGCAGAGGTTGGGGTAGAGGGAGCCAGCCTGAGGCAATCACAGTCATGCTGTCTGCTGGGAACGGGCCCTCGCAAGTGCCTCTCCCCAGCGTTGCTCAAGCAGGATTTGGGAAAGTTTTAGATGGCGTGATCCAAAACTCTGCCTGGAAACGTGTTAACAGTTAAACAGCCTGGATAATCAGTGAGCCAGTGCTCAAACCTGCCTCCTGGCCCTGTTTGAGCTGGTGATGTGGTTACTCTGATACCTGTGTTCAGGAGTAGGATGGGATTGCCTGTGACGCCAGGTGTTGTTAGGGATAAGGAAACTGTGAAACATCTTTCAATAGTTATTTATTGGATTCTATTTGAATTGCATTTTGGTTTGATGCTTCATTGTTATCCGTTGGATCTGATGTTTGCCTTTGAAAATTACCAATTTTCTTCATTCTGAGCCTCCCTGAATGCTCCATTTCTCACAAGCATTGTGAGCCTGCAGGCAACCTCTCCTCTTTGCTCACTCTCTTACCTTTAAGAAAATTACCAGTTGGCCCATGATTTTATTCTTTTATTCCCCTCTAGATGTTGTTTTCTGCTATTCTTCAGACACTAGGAAAGTGCTGCAGGGTAAACCTGCTACCCTAACTTTGTATCACATTGGAAAATAAATGGGGAATATGAATAGTGAGTGCCTTCCTGAAAGAGAGAAAGTGGACCTGGCTCTAACAAGCCCTTGGCAATACCTTTTGTTCCTTTTACCTGACCTGCTGCAAGCATGATGCTCTTTCTATGGGACATTTTACTTGGCAATGCCAGCCCTAGGCAAACAGACCTGCTGCCCCAGCCCAGTGCTGCTGTACATTGCTGTAGCTCTGATGGATTTATATTAGCTGATGCTCTGACCTACTGCCCGAGGCAGACTATAACCAGGCAGTGTTTCTCCTGTACCATTTAGATGATTTAAACATTTAGGAGTTTACATTAGCCTTCTCCTTTTGATGAATTCCTCATCTACATTCAGAAAAAGAGCCTCATTACCTTAGGACAGAACCATTATTTACTTACCATTTATTTCTTGATATTTTGCTCACACCCAAGAGCACACTAACGTTTCCTGCAGCATGAAGAGCCTCGAGTGCTGCCCTAGTGAGCTCAGTGACCATGCTCCAAGGAAGGGGGGGCTTTGGAGGGTGTATGGGGGTAATCTTAGGAAGATAATGTGGTATTCGGTGACACTTACTCATAATGAACAGAGCAAAGGATGCTTTTTTTTTTTTTTTTAAATATTGACTAAATAAGACATTATTAGAAAACCATCACACTGCTTGCTGTCATTGTTATGAAGATCAGTATAATCCTTAAAAGGTTTTTAATTTCTGTTTAGAAGCACCTGCCCCCTCTCACGGCACTGAAAGGTAATTTTCCCTTGAAGACAGACCACATTTTCCTGGACCAGTGGCAGTCTAACGCTGTATCTACATCTAGTGGCTTTCCCAGAAATTGCCCCAGGAAGGGACAGTGGGATGCCTGGCTGTGCCTGCCTGCCGGCGCCCAGGATGCACCAGCCTTGCCCTGGCACATCCGTCACCACCCAGGTCTGATAAATCTGCAGCTATTCATGTATACAAACTCTGTATGTCTCTGTGCAGAATAATACCTCAGGAGTTCTTATGTGTCTGTGCTATTAGGCTGGTGACTTACATCTGTTTTTCTGACATAGATCAGCATCAGTAGTCATTACCTCAGTATCGGCTCTCATTTTTATTTTCCAGAGAACATTATCACTAAACACAATTAGAAGATCTGGGTCCCACCCCCTCGTCTCTGCCCTGCCTCCAAATATATCACTCTGGATATTCTCATTCCCCTCCCCACCTCTTTTCCACCGTGCCCCATGCAGCTTGACTACTTATTCTGTGGCTCTTTGGGGCTGGTGTCACCTCTTTCTTTACACTTACACCACACTGGACACCTGTAGGGCCTCAAACACTGATACAGTTTGAATAATTGCTCCTCAAGTTGAATGCACTACACAGCTGTAGGTGCCACTCTGGCTGTATCACATGTCTATGGCAGGGGGCACAACCCCCCTTGTCCCAGCCAAGGCTGCCTCCATCACCAGACTGCAGTGACTGCAGTGACTCCTGCAGCCCTTTCCCCACTGCCTGTGCTCCCTGCTTGAGCCTCCTGCTTTCCACATCAGCCAGATGCATGCTGCTGGCTTTACATCATCTCTCTCCATGGCTGAGGAGAGGACTCGCATCCACTGCTGGGGAGGTGTGGTGCTGTGACCCAGGAGCAGCTCATCTCCCAACCACCAGCACTGTAAAACCAGAGCCCGGGGCGAGCTGCAGGGCCTGGAGCACTCTAAGTGCCCTGTCCAAGATGACCTGTCTGCTGCCAGAGCTGTGGCAGATGTTTTTGCCTGTTTGGGCAGCAGCACAGCCTCTGCGGTGTGTTAAAAAGCCCTTCTTATCCAGAGCTTCTGCAGCAATGGGGGACAGGCTTTACTAGAAGCAAACCTGAAGGAATGCCAGATGGGCAGCAAGATGCAAAAGCCTGGCTCAGTAATTTTTGTATCCCATGCATTGAAATAGCAAGAGCCAGATCCTCCAAGTCATGAAGCTGGCACAACCCTGGGATTTATTTTAAAAGCCATTTGGGCCTTTCTCGTTAGTTCCTGTGCACATTCAGAGGAGATTTTCAAGGTTTTTACTGCAGCCACTGGCCAGGACTTTGCTGTTTAATTCAGTTTGCATTTAAACTGTGCATGCTAATGAGGCAATTCTCTAAAGATAAAACCCAAATTCCCTATATAGGTGATCGAGAAAGAGGCTGGGGCTTCTGAAAACCTCTACAATTGGTCCCATAAAAGATATTACCCATCTCCACAAATCTTGCATTTCTTCAGGCTAGACACCAAAGAAAGGCACACAAAATCTCCCTGTGGATGTGATGTCTAAGTAGCTCCTTCTCTGCACTGACTATATAGAAAATCCAGGTCAGAATTTTTTTTTTTTTTTTCCTAATATTCATTTGCAGGAACTGGGCTAGTAATGAAATAATCAAAGATTCAGCATAAACCTGCAGAGTAAAAGTAACTAGTGGATGCAGCAGCTGCAGATACTAGCAAAAAAAGTCTAGTGTTAAATATGGCCAGAAAATGTAAGTTACA